CGGCGAGGCGCCACGCCAGGGGGCGAGGCCGGACGGCGGAGGAGCGAACGCCATCCCAAGGCTGGCGCGCGCATCCAAGCTAGCCCGGGGCAGGTCGGTGCCCAGTGCAAGTGGCGCACGGGCAAGGGCTCCCACGCGGGGGAGGCAAAGCTGGGGGGCGGGGGGGGAGCCGCCAAGCGGTGCGCCCCAGAAGGGGAGGGGGGAGCAGCGACGGCTGCCAGCAGGGGCGGCAGCCACCTGCGGAGCCCAGGGTTAAGTCGGGCATGTCCATCTACAGGAGGAAGATTCGAAAATAGTCATAGAAACAAACAAACAAACAAACTAACTAACTAACTAACTAAATAACTAACTAACTAACTAACTAACTAACTAACTAACTAACGAACGGACAAACAAACAAACAAACAAACAAACAAACTTTGATCCGCGGGTCGAGAGCGCACCTCTTCCGGTCGAAGCTAAGCGAGCCGCGCACAGCTTGAATTAAAGAGAGGGGGGCAAAAGGAGGGGCCTCACATCAAGGCCAGGAGGGGGCAAAGCCCCGGAATCAGGCGGTGACGAAGACGATGTGACAAACAAACAAACAAACACGATTTGTTGATAGCATGTTGTTCCTGCTTCGATGCATGTTTCTGCTACTTGAGCTCGTCGTCCAAAATCCGCCTGCAGGAGGACGTGCCCGACCTAGGCCCAAGGGGCGGAGGAGAGGCTGGGCGCCCCACTCGCCCGGCGGAGGGCGGCGCCCCGTGCCGGCAGCGCGACCCGCCGGGCCAAAGCTCCCGACCGCAGTCCGAATATTCGAAAAATATGCGAGCCAAATGTTCAAAAGTTCGGAGAATAATTCGAATCAAATGATCCAAAACCACTCGAACCAAGTAATTCGGGCAAAGTTCAAATTCTCGAAAAAACTTAGATACCGCAAGCCAAAATACCGCAAGCCAAAATATTCGAAAAAACGGAAATACCGCAAGCCACAATATTCAATATGAAAAATCAAAAATTCGAAGAAGAAATCGAATCCCGCAAGCCAAAATATTCAAACATATTCGAAAAATCGTCCCCAGGCTATTGTTGACGAGGTTTGAATATTCCTCCTGTAGAGGGAAAAGTCCGACTTAACTCTACACCGACGCTTTCTCGGGCCCCTCACTAAAACTCGCATCAGGTCGGGCGTGTCCTCCTACAGGCGGATTCTGGACGAAAAATTAAAAATACCCACAAAAGACCAAAATAATCATGACAAACTAGAAAAATCGTCCCCTGACTATGCTTTGCCTAGTCATGTTTGAACCTTCCTCCTGTAGAGGGACAGGTCCGTGTCCGACTTAACTCTGCACCGACGCTTCTTCGGGCCCCTCACTGAAACTCGCACCATGGCTTCTCCAGGAAACCGGGGAAAAAGGTATACACCACACCACCCCGACGTCGCCCCCGACCCCTGGGATTGAAAAACAGCCTGCCACTGGTAATCAAAGGCTCCCAACTTCGCGCTTCGCGCTGCGCGAAGCGCTAAGTGCGAATAACTTTGCGCTCTCGCGCGGCCTCCCAGGGGAGAAGAGGAGGATGAGTAGGAATCGGAGCCGAACCGCGAAGCGCGAAGCGCGAATAACTTCGCGCCCTCGAGGGCGTCTTTGGTAATGTATACGCTCCCGACCCAGACATCTGGCTGCTCCATTTTTCTCGATGCATAGGCCGAGAGGTCTGGACCACTTCCCGAGAGGAACTTTCGCCCGGCGTCGTTTTGGACAGTCCCGAAGACCAGCGAGGGCCCCCGGAGGCCGAGATCAGCCCCCCAGAACCGCCCACTCCAATCTTTGTTGGAGCGTCGGATCTCTGGGGCTTCCGACTTTTGGTAGGAAGGCACCAACTATACACCAACACCGATCCTGGCCAGGATCGGTGTTGGTGTATAGTTGGTGCCCTCCGATTTTGGAGGTCCGTGCAGATTGCCCAGATCGGCGCCGGACCCTGAGGCCCTGACGTCCCCAATTTTTCCATCCCGGCGTTTTCGCCTCGCTGCGGGCCCTGTCGGAGCCTCACAGAGCACTACCCGGCTCAAAGAGCGCCGCCGCCAAGAGCCAGGCTCCAGAGCTCTGGCTGCGACTTCCGCGAGGTTGCACTTTCTCCGCTGCGCCGGACCTCCCCAGAGATCCAACGCATTGAAAAAATCAAGACGGAGGTGTTTCGCAGGTTTTGGCCTCTAGGGGCCCTCGCTGGGCCCCGGGGCCGTCAGAAAACGACTCAGGATGACCAATCGGTCCTGGGGAGCATTGAAAAAAAAAACAAACAAAAAAAAAAAAAAAAAAAAAAAACGACATCGGATCTCTGGGACAGGGGGAAGTCCGCGCAGACTCCTGGATCGGCGCTGGACACCCCACCTCCCTGGCGAGCGGGCCAGGGGCGGCGCGGGAGGCTGACTACCTACCAGACCACCCCAACCCCACCCGAAGACCCCAATTTCGGGTTGGGGGGGGGTACGGGTTCCATATGTGTTTTCTCAATGTTCCCCGACCCCCCCCCCAACTGGAAATGGAGGGCAAATTGAGGCCTTCGGGTTGGGTTGAGGTGGTTTGGTGGGTGGTGAGAGGCGGCGTCAGGGGGGCCGTCCCGGGAAGCCCGCGCGGACCTCCGACGGCTTGTGCCCATGCCGGCTCTTCTCCTCCGATCCCCACAGGAGCCCCGCGCGGCCCTCCGGAAGCTTTGGGCCCATGCCGGCTTCTCTCCTCCGGCCCCCCGGGAATCCACGCGGGCATCCGAAGGCTTCTGCCTCTGTGCCAGCCTCTCCCTCTCCCCAGACATCCGCCGCTCCAGCTTCGTCGATGCGTGGACCCCAGAGGCCTCGACAGCTTCCGTTTTCATAAAAACGATCCCGGGGCTTGCCGGGGGCCCCAGGAAGGCGAAAATTGCCAAAAGCCTGCCGCTCTCCAATTTCTTCGGAGCCTCTGACCTCTGAAACATCGCACGACCGGAGCCATAGACCCCCCTGCGCCACTTTTCGGGCTGGATCGATCTTGGAGGTCCCAGGGGCCCGAAACCAAGCGAAAAATACTGGCTCGAAAAAAGTTGAGACGACAGGATCTCGGGACTCTCCGATCCTCGAGCATCACCGCGCGGCTGTACGCGTCCAGGTGGAGCCCGGACTCGCTGGCGGTCGGCGACACTGGCCGCCAGGGGGACGCGCCTAGGGCGAGAAGAATGTCACGATATGATTGGCTCAAGATACGTCCAAATATTTCCCGCGCATCTGGCGGCGCAGCCAGTGCGGAAAATTGGGAAATGGGCAACTCTGGAAACCTTGGAAATCTTGGAACGCATCATTCTCACGTCCGACGTTGCCAAGAAATTGCAACGTCGCAAGAAATCACGACCAGAGCCTCGGACCCATCTTCCTGCGTCGCTTTTCGAACTCGACCCATCGCTGAGGCTCCCGGGGCCCGAAACCGGGCGATGACGCCCGTGGTGGGAAAAAAACGTGGCAGCGCCAAGATCTGAGGTTCATCATGGCCTCGTTCGGCGGCACGCGAGAGTGACCCCCAGGCCCTAAGGCAAGAGTGACCTCTGGTGCGCGACCTCCGGGGGCCGCGGGAAGCCAGGCCCGAGCGCGCAAGACGCTGCCATCACATCGCGCTCGATCGCCTGGGAACCTCGGGCCGGGCGAAAGGGGGGGATAGCAAAGGGGGGGGTTGAGAATCAGCTCGCGTAGCTGATTTTCCAGGCGCCTCCCGGCGCCGGAGGCGACTATGTATCGAGGAATGGGTCCCTCGGTGGGGCCGAAACCAGCTGCATGCAGCAAATTTCGTAACCCCCCCTTTCCCAATCCCCCCCTTTCGTCCGGCCCGAGAACCCAGGTGTGCCCGCACCACAGGTCACTCCGACGAGAGGTCGCTCTTGCGTGTGGCCGACTCCTGCTCCCCAGACATCCGGCTGCTCCAATCTGCTCGACGCGTGGGCCCCCCGGACGTCTGGACCTATGCTGCTCCCACTGTACGTCGTAAGGACCACGTCCCAGAAACCATTTCGAGCACCGAGAGAAGTACCGAAACGGTGTCGAACGAGTATCGCCTCGCAGGGCCCGACGCGTGAAAGCCCACCGGTTTCGGTACTCTCCTGCTGCTCGAAATCCTTCCTGGCGGTCAAGGCTGAAGTAGGTTGGAACATCATAAGTCTGGACCACTCAGGGGCAGGGCAGGTTTCTCGTCCGGAGCCGTCTCTGGGACGGTCCCCTGGGCCCAGCGACGGCTCCAAAAAGGCCGAAAAGTTACCGAAAAACCTCCCGCCGTGATTCTGTTCACGACTCCCCAGACATCCGCCGCCTCGATGATTTCGAGACACAGGCACCCGACCTCCCGGCCACTTCACCAGGACCCGTTTCTCACCCCGAATCGTTTTTTTGACGGTCCCGAGACCCAGCGAGGGCCCCGGGAGACCGAAAACGACGAAAACCCTCGGTCCCGATTTCTTCTAGACGCCACGACGTCTGGGTCGAGAAGGTCTGAGACTCCTGCTCCTCCTCCTCCTCCTCCTCCTCCTCCTCCTCCTCCCTCCTCCTCCTCCTCCTCCTCCTCCTCCTCCTCCTCCTCCCTCCTCCTGCTCCTCGTCCTCCTCCTCCTCCTCCTCCTCCTCCTCCTCCTCCTCTGAGCGCCGCCGTCGTGGGCGCCCACGCCGGCGGGGCCCAGCGGGATGCGCAGCAGCTTGCTGCCGCCGCCGCGGCCGCGCGGCGAGGACGGCCCGGCGCCCCCGCGCTCGGCCGGGCTCCTGGGGCGGCAATGCCTCACGCGCTCCTCCTGCTCCTCCTCCTCCTCCTCCTCCGCCTCCGCCTCCTCCTCCTCCTCCTCCTCCTCCTCCTCCTCCTCCTCCTCCTCCTCCTCCTCCTCCTCCTCCTCCTCCTCCTTCTGGCATGCCGGGGCGGGGGCCAGCGACGCAGGCACCGCAGCTGCGGCGGAGAGAGGCACTGGCCTCAAGGGACTCGCCCACGACGGGCCAACTACCCGTCCTCGGCACCGCGGGGAAACATGGCGTCTGAGCCCCATGGAGGCCCCGTCTTTTGGGGGACGCACAGAGGCATACTAATACTGTAAGTCCTCCTTGGAGGGGCGCGTCCGGCCCGAACATGTAGTAGACCCATCTTGTAGTATCTCGTTTCCCGAGCGGTGTGGCCAGAAAGCGCCCGCCGCGATGCATATACTATAAAATTTCTCGGTTCGCGCCGATTTCTGAGGCACTTCTCGAGCCGGGTCGAGCTGTCATGGCCCTGAGGCCTGAAGCCGCGCGAACACGCCCAGCGCGAACGAAATGCAACGCCCAGACCCAGAAATCCTGTGTTTGCGTCTCTCCATGCCGGGTCCCTGGAGGTCTGCACCCTGTCCCCAGGGCTGGCTCTTCCTCCTGAGTCGTCCTTGGACGGTCCTGGGGCCCGGCGAGGGCCCCCAGGGGCCGAGAACTGCTGGAACAATAACCTCCACCTTGAGTTTCTCCAGGCGGAGGTCTGGGTCGATCTCAGATAGAGCGACAAAGAACTGCATAAGCATGAACTTGTGGACCGACGGCGGATCCCCCATCCCTGGCGCGCGGCGCGCGTTATGGGGCGGCGCCAGGGGGATCCCTGGCGCCGATATCCGAGAAATCCGCCTGGAGCTCCGAAAGTTTCCAAGGGGCCCAGGGACACACAGACAGATAGACACAAATCCCAGGATTCCCCATATTATCCTACATTCTCTGGGTTTTCGTCCTCCCCCCGCCCCCCCGCTTCCCAAATTTTCCTTATATTTTTCTGGGAGTCGACGATTACTTGTCTGTGTGCGTGGTTTTCCCCTCCTGATGTTCATGTTTATGCCGTCTTGAGACGCCTCCTAGATGGGGGCCTCCTAGATGGGGTCGGAGGATCGCGCCGCATTGCCGATGCATCGCCGATCTATCGGCGATGCATCGGCGCGGAGAAAATCGGGCTAGCCGCATCGGCGATGCGTCGCCGATGAGGCGCCATCCTCCGACCCCATCTGCGGCGGCAACTCATGGGAGCCTCCCATACCATCTTGTTGGCTCTTGCGAGTCGACGCTAATCGACGCTAAATCGGCGCTATCTCATCGATTACCAGACGCTGATCGACGCTAATACATTCTAGAGACGGCATTACGAGGGTACACAAGTCCCCCATGATTTGCTACCGAGCCCATCTACTCCGACCACATCTGGAAGGCGATGCATCGGCCATGCCTCTGGGTCCCCGGATGACTCGACCCTTTCCCCAGGACGGCCTTTGGTCCCGAGCCGTCTTTGGACGGCGTCGGGGCCTCCAGAGGCCCAAAACGGCGCCGAAAGCTGCCCGTCGTGTTTTTGTTCTCTGGACGCGAGCACGTCTGGAGTTGTTTCTGTCGCTCAGGAAACAGCTGGCCTCGCGGACGCGTGCAGCGAATGTCCAACACTCCACAGCCTTCCTGTCGGCCCCCAGCATAAGATAGTACACCAGTCGCTCCTAGCTGCTGCGAGAACTTCGCCTGCTCCTCCTCCTCCTGAGTTTTTGTCCCTCTTCTTAGATCGGAGGCGCTCGGGCTCCCGGGCGCCAGGGCCGCCGAGGCGGCCGCGCTCCCGGCCGCGCCCCGGGCCGTCAGCGGCGCTGCTGCGCCGAGCGGCTCGTGCTCGTGCCGCCCCGGGCTGCGGCCCGAGCTGGCCTGGGGCGCACGGCGACAGACCACCGGGAGGGCGGAAACTGTTCACCTCGCAGCGATGAGGGGGCCCTGGGACGTACACACACACACACACACACAAACACACATATATATATATATATATATATATATATATGCACACAAATAACAGGATCCCCCTTATTTTCCCCTTTTTTCTGTGGGTGTTCGTCTTCCCCCCCACTTCCCATATTCTGCCGTATCTTCTGGGGAATCAACGATTGATTGTGCCTGTACGTTTGTTTGAAGAGGCCCTGGGACACACAAATCAATAGACACAAATAAAAAGATCCCCCACATTTTCCCATATTCTTTGGACTTCTGTCTCCCCCCCACACTTCCCATATTCTACCATATTTCTGGGGGGTCAACGATTGATTGTGCCTGTGCCTTGGTTTTCCTCCTGCAGCGAGGCAGAGGCAGCTCGCACGCGCGCCGGGGCCGGCCAGGTGCCGGCACCGGGAAGGCGGCAGCCCGAGCGGCCGGGTGCACGCGGGGAGCGGCGGCGCGCGAGGGGGGGGGGGCGAGGAGGAGAAGGCCCTCTCAGAGGGCGGCGGGATTTCTCGGAGGCTCTCGCGCCTCCCGAGGAGTGCTCTGCGTCGCCGGGGGAGGCTCCGAAGACTCCTGGGAAGGCCGGGGGACTTGCGCGGCCTCGCGCGGGCCGCCCGCGCGTCGCGCTACACGTCGGGCCAGGGCGCTCACGCGCGGCCTTCGCGCGGGCAGGCTACGCGCCCACGTCGGCGCTGACGACCCCGTTTTTTGGCGTCGCCCACGCGTGGAACAGCCGGAAGCCACGCCTTTGGGTACGCATGCGGAAGCCCGGCGTGCAAGGACATGGACGGGCCGAGCGCTGGAGAGGCACGTGGCCACACGCGTCTCCGGCTCTCGCGCCCTGGCCAGCCACGCCGCGCGTATCCATATCCAGCTTCCTGGTGGTACGATGTGCCTCTGTCGGAGACGCAGGCTCGACCCGACCATGTAGCGCAAAATCTTGTAGTACATCGTTTCCTGGGCGGTGTGGCCAGAAAGCGCCCGCGGAGCTTACATTACAAGATGTCCGAGCGTGCGCGTCGCCCTTGCGTGGCCGACACACATAGAATATAAGTCTGTTTGGGCGGTGCCGAGCTCCGCCTCCTCCTCCTCCTCCTCCTCCTCCTCCTCCTCCTCATCCTCCTCCTCTTCCTCCTCCTCCTCCTCCTCCTCCTCCTCCTCCTCCTCCTCCTCCCTCCTCTCTCCCTCCGCCGCCTCCTCCGCCTCCTCTCCACCAGTTCCTCTCTTTTGCGCGGTGCCGACGGCCGAGGAGGCGGGCGAGCGGCTCGCGGAGCGGGGTGGCGGCAGCGTCCGCGGGCCCGCGCCCGCGCGCCGCGCCTGCGAGGGCGCCTCGCCGCCGCTGAGCTCGCGGCCGCGCAGCCCACGCTTGCCGAGGCCGAGCTCCAGCGACACGCCGGCGAACTCGTCGCCGAGCTCGCAGTCGCGCGGCTCGGGGCCTGCGTCGTGGACGGTCGGGGGCTTGCCTGGGAGGAGGGGTGGTCAGGGTCCGTTTTGTCCTCGTCGTGGCCATCCTTCCTCGTCACGCCTCTCACTCCTCGCGCCTCCTCGCTCCTCCTCCTCCTCCCTCCTCCTCCTCCTCCTCCTCGTCCTCCGCCTCCTCCTCCTCCTCCTCCTCCTCCTCCTCCTCCTCCTCCTCCTCCTCCTCCCCCTCTTCTTTTGATTAGTATTATAATTATTATGTTTCCTCCTCCTCCTCCTTCTCCTCCTCCTTCCACTTACTAAATTTCTTTATCTTTTTTTGAAAGCAAAAAATTCTCCCTGTCGCACCCGAGGCCAGTTTTTAGGGCGGTCTGGGCGTTTCGCCTGGGACTTCCTCACCACTTCTGACTCTGAAGCTTTAAAAGTGACAACAGCTTGACAGATGGAGGGCGGGTGGTGTTCAAAGTGTGGTTCTCGCCTTGGCGCTGCGCACATTCGCTTTTAAACTTTGCAGGAATTTCACGACTTGAAGGCGGTTCCTTTTCAAAATGTGGTTCTCGCCTTTGCACCGCGCACATTCGTTGTAAAACGTTGCAAGGGTTTCACAGAGTGCGGGCGGGTCGTTTTCAAAATGCGACTCTCGCCTTTGCGCCGCGCACGCTCGTTTCCAAAATTTGCAAGAAGTTCACGGATTGAGGGCGGGTGGTTTTCAAAAGTGGCTCTCGCCTTAGCGCCGCGCACATTCGTTTAAAAAATACAAGAGCTTCACGAATTGAGGGCGGCTCCTTTTCAAAATTTGGCTTTCGCATTAGCGCCGCGCACATTCGTTATAAAAATCTTCACGAGTTTCACGAATTGTGGGCGTGGGCGGTTCATGTTCAAAACGTGGTTCTCGCATTAGCGCCGCGCACATTCGCCCATCAAACTGGGAAGAGTTTCACGGACTCCTATGATCAACGTACCAGACATGGCGTCTTGGAAAGATTTAGGATTACGCGGGTGCAACAGTTACATTGGTTCGCGGTGTCGAAGTCCCAAAAATGGCGTTCTGGCACGGTTCCAGATCGTCAAGACGGAGCAGTCAAGTTGATCCGTTACGTTGAAATCCCGAAGACAATGTTTTGGCATGCTTCAGGGTCTTCAAGGGTGTCGTCCAACAAGGCAGTTCCCTCAATGGAAATGAACCGTTGTAGGGGCCTATGAAGAGGGAGCTTGGAAGGAGGATTCCGACATCGATGATGAGTCTTTGGTGTACACTAGTCCTGCTCCTCCTCCTCATCATCATCCTCGTCCTCGTCCTCCTCCTCCTCCTCCTCCTCCTCCACGTCCTCCTCCTCCTGCTCCTCCTCCTCCTCTTCCCCCTCCCTCCTCCTCCTCCTCCTCCTCCTCCTCCTCCTCCTCCTCCTCCTCCTTCCTCCTCCTCCTCCTACTCCTCCTCCTCCTCCTCCGCCTCCTCCTCCTCCTCCTCCATTTGAGAAGGGCATGGCCCCCACACGGAACTCGCCGACGGTGCCAGAGCAGGCCGGAGACAACCTCCCATCCCGCCACCACCCAGCTCCTCGTGACCCGACTCCCCCCCCCCGCCTCCGTCCTCCCCGGCAGGCGGCCCGTCCTCGGGCGGCGGCTCCTGCGGAGCCTGCGCCTGCTCGGCCGCCGGCTCCGCCTGGCCCTCGCGGCCCAGCCCGACAATGTCGGACCTGGCCGCCGTCGCCGGGCTGAGATGAGACTCGAGGGATCCTGCCCAGCGGCCTGCTTCCCCGGCAGAGACACGACACCCGCAACAAGATCAGCCTGCGTCTGCTCAACTCCATGCACCAGCGCACCGGTTTTAGCGTACGTGTCGGCA